GTAAATGCTAGAGCATTCCCCAAGGTCCAGGATAGTTCTAGAAAGCAGGTAGCGTGAGAATAGTCACGTGATCTTGCTGACGCAACAATATATATCTACGATACTCGTTGTGATGTTTCAGTTGGGATTTGAATGTCTTCAAACCTATAAATTGTGAACATAGTGCCAATAATAAATCAACTGGATACCAGCAATGTTTAATGATCGAAGAGTCGGGAATGACAGTTCATTTATCTTTGTCTTGTAATTTTTATTATTTCCATTCTTTTTTAATTCATGTGCTCAACAGTTTCTTGCTGGTGATCCTTAATTACACATTTAACATCACTAAAGTTGTGACATTGTTTTAATTGCTTTTTTGTGAGTTGTCAAAGACAAGCCATTCCCTATCACACTAAGTACGACAAAGAGCAGGGATGTAAAAATTTCATATGTTTTTGTTTGAATAAAGGTTTCCCCAAGAAAAATGTATATGCACAATGAATCTTTCTACAATGAAAATTTTTTTTATTGAAAATGATTTTATTTTTTATTGGTTTTCTTGAGTTTGTGAATGGTTTTATTAATTTCGGATTGTATGCATTGTGTAACTGGCACTCTGCATCATATTTATTCAACTATTTTGTTTAGTTTTAATTTCAGTTTCTGTACGAATGTTTACCTACACTTTGCTTTTCTATGTTCAAATTTTATTATGATGTGTGCTTATCACTGTTAGAACACTTATTTTATTTAACTATATGGCATGTTCTTTTACCAATAATGTTAACAATCTCCTGGACCATGTTGGGAGTTAGAGAAGATTGATTTTAAATATAATATTATTTGTTGGTTTGAAAATGGGCTTGAGAAAGAAAAGTGTTATAGACAGACATATCACGTGATTTTTACATTCTAGGGAAAAATAATTTTTCAAAATGTCATTAGTCATGGCAGAAACAAATTGCCCAGAAAGTCGTTAACATTATCTTATAGTTGCTCTGCCTTCTTTAGTAGGTAATGTCTTATCTGCTTGCAAGGATATTTTTGTATTGTACAGAGCATCCAGGTCAAATTGGGTGGAACTGTAATATCATTTACTGACTGATTGTGAAGGTTACAGCACACTAATGCTGTCACAGGACAAAGGTCACGAGGTGACATCATCCATTTGCCAGTATAGAAGTAGGACCTGCTTTCGGAGATTGGTATGCATGTTTATTTAATAGCATTCAATCTGAAAAGACAGTAAACTGCAGGTCTAGTAGAGCCTGTTCACAAAAATATATAGATTGCATTTTTTGTTTTATTTATAAAATAATGTTTTTTTTTAAATATTCTATTTCACACTCAAAAGGAATTTAGTCTAATTATTTAATACAGAAACTCTCCTTAATTCCTGGTTGAGCCTATTGTTATCTGTGGATATCATGCTTCTTAAGAAATTGGGTAGCTGAGAATACCCCAATAATTCTTAATATTAGCACTGATTTCTCATTAACCTACTGTTTCATTGAGTCTTGTATTTATATCTTACCCTTGTTTCCACATACTGCAAATAAACATCTAAATTAGATCATTGAAAATGTAGGTTAGAACAACATTTCACTTAACTTCATTGTATTTCTTTAATCTTGAAGTTGTGTGATATGCAGGTATATCAAATGTATTCTATGTGCTTCAGTGATACAGATTATTAAAATATTTTGGTTATTTACTTTCTGTGCTGTAATGAGGTCAATTCGTGGTCTATCCTTGTCAGAAATGTTTCTCCTGGAATTGACACCAGTAACAATAGAGGCAAAGTGATGTTATTGCAGTTGCCGAATTCAATAGAATGTGTAATTATGTACACTAGCCATAAACTCAAGGCTCCCAAAGACCTAAAGAGAATTGTTTGCAGTGGTTTTCTTTGTGAAACACTATTTTTCTGGTAGGATAGTCACCCTTTGAGTGAACCATGCTTTGCTGAAGTAGGTAGAAACTTTAAAAACCTGGAAGATGAAACATTTGATGATGATGTTGCAAAATAAGATGTAAAAGTTCATTGCCTGAATACAAAATATGAGAATTTAGGTATAATCTCAAGTTCTGACCCTCAACATCATTTGTTCTGTGAAACCATGTCCATTTTAGTCTTAGTGAAAGCAGATGATACAGTTAATGACTCCATCAAAGGACGGAAACCAAATTTCATTCTTCAGAATCTCTGGGCCGAACCATTGAAGGATTCCAATTTAACTTAAACATTCCTTGTCATTCAGCAAGGTCCGGTCCAGCCAGCACTAGTAGAAGAGTGTAACATGGACACACATAACCTGTGTCATCTGTTCAAGTTGAAGAAAGCCTGCTGTACTGATATCAGTTCATGAAGCATAGTGTCACAAGAGTGCTTGCACAATACAAAGGAATGGAAGGTACCAAGATAAAACCACACTTGTTCTTACAATTGACAGATGTGCTTCTAGCCAAAAATTAATTGAGATGTTCAAGGCTGGTGTGAATTATGTGAGGTGTATGCTGCACAAAAACAAACATGACATGGTAAATTCGACCAGAGAATTGTTGGGTTTCTCCTGCACTGGATAGTTCTAGATATCACTGGTAAATTCCCAGATTCCAAGAGCCCATCACTACATACTTATACAGTGAGCAAAAACACTAGTACAGACTGTTTGCAAATGTGTTAACCAAGAACTGGATAGCATGATTCACAATGCTGGAAGAAATTTATACTTTCCAGGGAAATTAACAGCCAACTATTCACTGAAGTAGGTTAATTTCGGGGAAGATCATTACATCATATCACCATTATGAACCAGAAGCTTCCTCCAGCTAAGAAACTATAACACTGAACATATAACTTACACAATTGACCCTTTCTAGATTGTTTAGTCCTTTAAACAAGTCTCTTGATCATTACATCATATCACCATTATGAACCAGCAGCTCCCTCCAGCTAACTAACTATAACATTGAACATATAGCTTATAAAATTGACCCTTTCTAGATTGTTAAATCCTTTAAACAATCTTAATGCAAAAATAAAGCACTATCCTAAATGTTCATTCAACAAGTCTTTTTGGTGTTCTTTTCTTTGGGTTATGTCATTCAGATGGGATGGCCTCTAATATTTTTTGTTCATTTGTTGTCCTGTTAATTGGGATTCTCCCTGATCTTTTAGTACACATAAATGATGACCTTTTTCTCCTTTATTGTCACTGCCTGTCCTGTTGATAAGGGTCTCTGTAGGTCACTTGGTAAGCAAATCCATCAGTGGCTCTATCTTAATTGATCTTGTGGAAGTAGTCTCAACAGGATCACTTGGCTTTGCAGAAGTTTCACTTTCTGTTGATAAATTCTTCTTTGGATTTACCCATTTTTTCACCAAAGTGATTACAGTAGAAAACGTTTGACTTGGTTGGCTTACCTATTGGAATCTGTAAACTCCCTTAGATTATATTAAGCACAACTTGTGACCCTTCCCAATACTTGCTTAACTTTTCAGTTTGTTCCTTCTTTAATTTCATAGCAATTTTATCACAACGTGATTTAGTTGTTTATGGGTGGTCACATATGAAGCAATTGGATATTTTTGAGGGTATTTTACAACTGCTTAGTATATGATTGTTTAAAAGAGTTTAAGAAAGAAGCTTTAAAAATTTAAGTGTTCTGGGTATAGCACATATACATAAAGAAATAACATAAGTAAGGACATCTATACCATGAAATTAGGTCAACAGCTAACTGGTTAGTTAATGTTCAGAATCACGAGTTAGGAGTTTTAAAAAATATAGCTACAATGAGGATGCTAAGAAAAATGCTAGTCACTTGTTTGACAGTGATAAGTTTCTGAAGCCGAATTAGTAGTACAGTAAAGGCTACTAAAAAGTTTATAATAGCATCTCAAATCAGTGCTTTGATGCAAGGCCAACTCTGTTGTAAGTAATGAACTACTACCTCTCAGTCAATTAACGTAATTTTGGATAAAATTATAAATGAATCATATGAGAAGATAACAAAATATTTTATATGTTAGTTACAAATATCAATGTTGTTTAACCTGAAGGTGGTTTGTTAAGAAGTTTTATGGGTATTTCATGTTAGAAAACTTGAATAAACTAATGTATTGAGTTATACATGTCTCAGGATCAATTTATTTAACCATAAATCTCCTCGAGTTAGTGACTTGTGAGCTCCACACACCATAACAATCCTCAATTAAATAAATTTAGTGTAGTCAGCAGTATAGTCGAAACTCTAACGACTAGCCCTAACGGCACTGCCCATTACACATGACTTTCACAGTGATCCTTACCCAATCTACATATTCTGTGAGATTCTGCTGATAACTTTTCTCTAAATGAAAATACAGAAGGTTAAATGGCATTTTTAAGTTTCTACCAAATATCACTAATAATGGTGCGCTGCATGTACTGCTATACAATAACTTATCAGTAACAGTAGAAGATCGTAATCCTACATTTTCTTATGTTCATCTACAAAAATAGTTAATTGATATAACAGTGTATGTTTGTTTCCCTCAACTATCCTTTTGGAAGATGGATTAAGGGCTGTTGTCTGGATATTTTTTATTCCAAGGATCTAATGCATTTCCATAAACAATCCTATCTTAAAATAAATTTGTCAAGTTTCCTTGCTAGTTTCTACTTCTTTGTTAGAAACAGTATATGTTTCTGACCCTTTTGTGAAATAGTCACATTCATTATATAGTACTTGAACTTCTAAATACAATCACAACTAATATTAAAAATAAATAATTATGACAACACAAGTTTCACACCTTATAAAACTTTTCTCCCTTGTTGGAAAGCAATGAAAACATAAAATGGAACTATAAAATCACGTTAAAGGTTAACGATATATAAATTCAACCATGGAAATATGAAAGCATAATATCACAACAACCAACTTTACTTTCAACCACTATTTCCTTCATCAAACCAACTTTACTTTCAACCACTATTTCATTCACAATAATCAACTTTACTTTCAATCATTATTTCCTTCACAACAACCTAACTTTCAACCACTATTTCCTTTACAACAACCAGCTTTACTTTCAACCACTATTTCTTTCACAACAACCAACTTTACTTTCAACCACTATTTGATTCACAACAACCAACTTTACTTTCACTCATTATTTCTTTCACAATAATCAACTTTACTTTCAATCATTATTTCCTTCACAACAACCTAACTTTCAACCACTATTTCCTTTACAACAACCAGCTTTACTTTCAACCACTATTTCCTTCACAACAACCAACTTTACTTTCAACCACTATTTCTTTCACAACAACCAACTTTACTTTCAACCACTATTTCTTTCACAACAACCAACTTTACTTTCAACCACTATTTCTTTCACAATAATCAACTTTACTTTCAATCATTATTTCTTTTACAATAATCAACTTTACTTTCAATCATTATTTCCTTCACAACAACCCAACTTTCAACCACTATTTCCTTTACAACAACCAGCTTTCAATCACCATTTCCTAATTAATTTTAAGAAATATCTTCTTAGTTTGAGTGGTTGAACAAAATCTTCTTATGCTTCGTCTTCTTAACATGTTGACTGACATCAATACTTTAAAGTTCCTACTCAAAAGATCTATATGCAAGTTAAATATACACAAATACCAAACCTTAGACAAAATGGAACTGTTTATCAGTATCTTATTTATTCTTTTTATTAGTTTACAATAGAATCACGTTATTTTACTAGAAATTATTTTATTATTACTTTCTTCAGCATTCAAAATTATGAGACTGAGTGTTTGAGATCATTAAGTCCCAAAATCCAGAAATCAAATCCGTGGAAATCATTTCCACAAACTTCACAACTGTAAGATTTCTCCCGATTAAGTTATTTCATGCTTTTCTAAATCACTATTTGTTTGAAAGCATTTTGGATAAACTAAACAATAGAAAGGTTTCCCAACAAAGTGTGTTCCTTGATGGATTTTTAATTCCCCATTTGTTTTAAGGTCTTCTGCATAACTCTAAGGTTTCTCCCCAGCATGTATTCTTTTATGATATTTTAATGCACTATTTGTTGTAAACTGTTTATCACATACTGAACAAGTGTAACGTCTCTCCCCAGTATGTATTTGTTCATGTTTTTTTAAGTTACAGTTACTTCCAAATTGTTTTCCACAAAAGTCACAACTGTAAGGTTTCTCTCCAGTATGTATTCTTTCATGTTTTTTTAAATTACCATTTATTATAAAGCTTTTTTCACAAATTGTACAACTGTAAGGTTTCTCTCCAGTGTGTATTCTCTGGTGCATTTTTAATTCCCCAATTCTTTTATAGTCTTTGCCACAAAGTGCACAACAGTATGGTTTCTCCCCAGTATGTATTTTTATATGATATTTTAATGCACTAGTTGTCGTGAACTGTTTATTACATATTACACAAGTGTAAGGTCTCTCCCCAGTATGTATTCTTTCATGTTTCTTTAAGCTAGAGTTACTTCCAAATTGTTTTCCACAAAAGTCACAACTGTAAGGTTTCTCCCCAGTATGTATTCTTTGATGTATTTTTAATTCACTATTTGTTCTAAAGTCTTTTCCACAAATTACACAACTATAAGGTTTCACTTCATTGTGAATTTTTTCATGCTTTTTTAATCCACTATTTGTTCTAAAGTGTTTTCCACAAACTGTACAACTGTAATGTTTTTCCTCAGTATGTCTTCTTTCATGCTTTTTCAATCCACTATTTGTTTGAAAGCGTTTTCCACAAACCACACAACTGTAAGGTTTCTCCCCAGTATATATTTGTTTTTTCAATTCACTATTGTACAGTCTCTCTCCAGTGGGTATTCTCGTATGTTGTTTTAGGTTATCAACTGTTACAGATTCCTTTTCACATGTTATATAACTGTGAGGTTTGTCTACATCCTGAGGTATATCTGATTGTTTTATGTTACTTCCATTCAAATTTGTTTCTCCACAAACATCATGGTTTAGTTTTGAGCATTTGTTGACATCTGTAAAAATATCTTCTTGTCTTAACACATCATCACCAGGAAACTGACTTCCACAACAGATGTTCACACTGGTCTTTATATCTAAGATTAAAATATATGACGTAACATAGTTAGTATCATACATTAATTTATTTGATGAGCTTCTAAGTTCATTTTATTGGTATAATAAAAGTACTTGCTTCAGCATGAAGAATTATGAAACTTAGGGTTTTCAATACATAATTCATTTAAATAATATAAAACAATAAATAATTACGATACAATTTTCCTAATTTTACTCCCTACTTTGAATTAATATTGTGACATGGAGTAATTATGTCTAAGCCTTATCATATAATTGTATATGATGGAATAACTAAACAGATCAAACATTGTCAACTATGTGTACATATTAAGGAGTAGAGAATTGAAGAAAAGTCTTAGTTGATCATTCCTTGCCATGTACACGTAGCTCTTAAGGTTTAGTTGTAATTACTTAATCTTCAACATACCCATCTAGAAGATAGTGTTGTAGTTTTGGTTCATTACTTCTTCACTTGAACACACAGTACATAATGTTCAGTCCCAGCTAATTACTCCTTAATATAATTAATACTTGAAACTGTCAGTACTTGGTGAAACTCCATAATTACAGAATTGAGGAAAATCAAGACAATTGTACATTTCACAAATACATCATTTATTACGACCATGGTTTTATCTGTGAAGGCTTCATCATGTACAGACTGAAATGTTTTGTAACAGGGTTTATATATATATATATGTTTTAAAAAAGAACTGGAAGTGACCTTGACATTCACCTTGAGACAAGTGGGGAGAGGCTTAAGTTGGATTGGTCATTTAGAACTTTTTCTGGATTTGTTTTAGACATCTATTTATTTCTAAAATTTCCAGACTGTCTAGTTTTTTAACTTTTTCTGGATCAAATTGGTGTCTAATTTCAATAAGGTGGTATGCAAAGGTTGAATCAGTTTTCCTAAATTTCTAGTTTCTAGAATGTTCTTTAATTTTCGTTTCTATGGAATGCCCCATTTGACCTATATATATATATATATATATATATATATATATACTATAT